ATTTCGATTATATCCATAATCCGTCATAACTGGTCGCTTTCCAGGCCGCGGCCCAGCACGAGAAGGCTGAATTTGCTGTCGCCGACGTAGCTCGGACTGACGGTGCTGAGGTTGCAGACACTGAGGCTGGTGAGTAGAATAACTGCATTAAACCAGCCTCGTGTTCCCACTCCAATCAAAGTTTTGAGTGAAAAAAATCTATTTTGTCAGAGTAAACTGTGTCTGGGAATTAATTTTCTCCCTTACAAAGAGTCAGAGATAGTACGAGTACACAACATCGATACGAGTTATTTCCCAGTGGAAAAATTAGATCAATACTGAAGAGAAATCTTTTGATACCATATTTATTAGAGCGATACATGTATCTTCATATTGGCAAATTCAATCATAAAGTGATAAGCATGAATTTCAACAATAAACTTTAAGAAGCGTTGAGCCCGCAAGGAGATTGAACGATTTCTCCACAAAATTGAATGCGATTGGTCAGCGTTATGCCATCACAATCTTAGCTGCTCACTGATGAAGCGTTATGTTATCATTCTAGAAATAATTTTCATGTAACAAACTATTACCATGTACTAGCTATAATGTATGTAATGTGTACTTCATATTCATAAGGGAACTTTGATTCCTAATTTTGCGGACTACGTAAATAACGGTTTATCGTTAAAAGTTTATTTAATACTATAGATCAAGATAGACTTATTACAAATAACTATCAGGTAATTGAAATATAATATGATGGCTTCGTGTAGGAAGAATCATTATATAATATCAAGTAACTTTCCTTTCATCATTTCAGAAGCAAAATGGATTAATTGTTACCCGGGCTGGTCATGTTACTCCGGGGTAAGTGACCTTCATTTGATTCAATTGAGAATATTGAAACATCATCAAAGCAAGTACTTGCTACATTTAATGACTTACTATAGCGTAATACTATTAATTGAGCAATTAGAAATAACATAATCACAGTAACTTCTGAACGGCGCTTCCATGTTGTGGTTTTATTCCTCGGCTATAAGATTGGCTGCAATGCCCGCGGTATCGTCAGCGCTGGATGTCCCATACTCCTCGACTTATTTTTAATATTTCCGTGAATCTCGAAATTGACAATCAACTTTGAAAAAATGTAATGGTCTAAGCAGGAATTGAGTCTCATGCAGCTACACTGTGCACGCTAAATTATTTTAGACCATTTTGATAGACCATTTTTAGACCAGTAAACCGGTTTTCTGAATAGACATTCGTGTACTGATGTAACATATATCCCGTAGGGATGCCTCGAATAATGACACATTATAATATGATTGCATGACAATGAAATCATTTTCTACGATATAGCAATGAATGAATTCATTATTTGCAGTGGGGAACGTGGGACTACTACTGCTACTACTGGGAGTTTACTGCTTACACGTGCTATTCCTACTACTACGGTACCTTGCGCTGCTGCGTTCCTTATTACTTAGGATAGCGGACTATTACTGCGATACACGGGAAGTTTTTGGTCCTGGTAAATACTACGTTGTCCTAGTAACTAGCTAGTTCTTGGTCCTGGTAACTACTTCGTCGTCGTGGTAACTAGCTAGTTCTTGGTCCTGGTAGCTAGCAAGTCTGTACATGGCTTGTTCAATAAATATTAGTGTCGCCGGTGTATCGCTCACTGCTGAACATCGACTCATTTCCTGGCTACTTTCTTCGATATGATATTCTCTGGTGTGTCTTCATGAAAAAACGCATTAAAAAGCAACTTGCATTGTGTTTTATTGTCTTATTTCAACGTTCCAATTGCCATCCGTGAAGACTTTCAGATTCCTGAAATCCTGTGCATACGTATGTTGATAAGAAAGCAAGCTAAAATGTTCATTTCAATAATATAATATTTCCATGATTACATCAAGACGTCGCTCAAATCGTGAAGCGGGCATGCAGCGTAATAATTGGGTATTGATAATGCGCTGCCATTTCTTTGAACGACAGAATCATTTGCTGCGAACTACAATAATGTTTTCCGCAAAAAAATCCCCATTATCGATCAAAAGCCTTCGGATGAACTATCTTCACAGAGCTTAGTGATACTCAAAAGTATTTGGTCTCGTGCCAATTTGGAAGAAAGGGGGATATTCAAGTCCCAATTGCCCCCAGTGAGATATTCCAAAGTCAACACTTTAACAAATAACATACAAACTTTATTTACGTGACGGTAATTACTGTCAGATTTAATAAGTAACTCACTTGTTACCTTAGTGCCAAATTGTTCAGCTAAGGAGAAAATCTCACAAATAGTTTTGGAAAGTTTTGTTGCACTACCACTTTATAGGAGAATGCAGTAATAGGTTATTTGCTGCTCTTTACAGAAGCGCTACAAGTGCGCGTAGAAAATCATTTCATGAGTTAAAGTATATAAAGTATAAGTAATATTTTTTTCATGATGCCTCAGCAATACAAAATACGTATAGAGTTCTCATTGCAACGCTACGATGACTTAACATGACAACTCTACGATAATTTTTTCAACAGTTGAACTGTTGAAAAAATTCTAAAGGTATTCTATACGCTTGCAGCCGGAGACCACTCTTGGCTTTCTTCACAGGTCTTTTTCAAAATGGCATAATGTACTAAGTTCTTCTTTCTACTAGATAATTTGATGACAACTTTAGTCCACACAGAATGCCAGAAATGTTGATTCATTATGTGGGCGAATACTCTCTCTGGACTTGATGATGATCTGGACCTATCAAAAATGAGTATTTCCTTACAGCACTAGCGAGCGTGTGATCAGCCTCGTCAAGGACTGCTCTGGACAAGTCAAGAATCCAAACAGAAAAGGCCGGTTAGCTATTCGTCGTGATTTTTTTTTTAATTAGCTGGAATACTTTGTCTCCAAGATTTCCTAAACAACCACAGAGTAAATCTTCTGCTAGAAAATAACCACACAGAGATTACAATTAATACCAAAATGATACATGTTGTCAGAATACTAGGGCTATGTTTCACCACAGCAATTCATTGAATCGCTCTATCAATGGAGACCAAACGGTATATAATGTGAGAGCCAATTCAAAATTCGGAATGTTCTTCAACAGTTGGTGTCAGTCCTCCTGAGTACCTATTTACTGAATGAAATCAATGATAAGTGAAATCAGTGATAAGTAAGATCGAGCAAGATATGAAATATATTTCCTTTTTTTTAAATATAATAAGATATATATATTCCTAGATTTTACCCCTATTTGTCATCAATCATATCGTTAAATTCATGTGCCCAGAATGAAGTGCTCCGTACCAGCAATGAAACTTTTTGGAATTGGAAATTCTAATATCTTCTTTAGATTTTGCTACAATTTGTAATTTTTTAGATGAATTATTTCACTACAATAATTAATGCAATGCAATCAGTCATTGGCCAGCGACATAATACCACGAAGTGGGCGTTAACGCGCCAGGGTTATGATAATACGCGAATTAATGTTCTTGTGATGATTCAGAAGTACTCAGATCGAGGTAGCCACTTAGAGTCAGTGGCGTCAGAGTCAACTGGTTCCTAGTCAACGGTATCATCAACAACGGTGGAAGGGTCCACTGGCTAGTCAACCGCGAGAGCCAACGGTATCAACGCAACCGAGTCAACGCTGTGCCGTAGATAGCGCCACGTCACAAATAAAATGGCTGAATGATTCCTGCGCGTGGGACTCGAGTCTACAAAGTAGTCTGTAAGTTGGATAAGAAGGCAAAATAAAAAAAGATCGCGTACTTAACATCACCGTTAGGTCTTAATTTATACATGTGCAATGTTTCACTGAGCTGCGTTCATTCGTGGAGAACAGCCACGCGAGTCCGGCCGGAGAATAATAATTGTCCGGCATGTCCCGACACTGTGAATCAACAGTTACCCCAAGTAGATGCACGTTTTCTCTGGCCTTTGGAGGCGATATTTTGTTTTTTCCTTGTTTTCTCCAAGGACAAACACCTCGGTGTTGGGAGTTGGTAACAAGCCAGTAATACTGAGTGCGTCGTGTGATATGGGTTTACTTGGGTGCTGCAAAAATGTCGCATTCCCGTCAAGACTGATTGCAGAATATCCACAGCTTGTTGTGGGCTTGAACTCGCAACTCACTCATTTAATTAGGCCTCCTTGCCGATTCTGACCAGAAACTGGCGCACAGAGCAGGGATTGAACCCGCACCTCTCTGCTCCAATCCTGGGAGGCTGGGACTCTGAACTTTAACCACTGGGCCACCCTGCTTAATATCGATATTTATTGATGAGTTAAACGCTGTGTAATAAGAACCATTTCCGTTCTGAATCGTCTCACTCTCACTTATCCTAGTTATGCTTTAGAGTTTATTAAAAAAATCACAGCGTCTGATACTCCGTTGATGAAAATCACCTATCATCACAATAACATCAATGAGCAACATTGATTGCAAAATCCTGACAGTAACAGTAATCTCTAGTAATATCGATTTGTATTCAATAATTCGTGACATCTCACTCACACTGGCACGCATAAATACCATCTTAGTTCATATAATCATTGGGTTGCCGATTATTTTCAGTTGTGCAATATGATGAATTTATACTATTTCAAAGTAATATGAGCCCCTGGTATTCACAGCAAATAATATATAAAAGAAAACTTCTTAATAGTTTATTAGGCAATTTGTTGTGCAAACTTGAAGCGTCATCATGTGGTCGCTTTTCATCAGTTTCTGTCTCGGTTTCATCTTCTGCAAGGCTCTTCCCAGCTTGCGACATCGGTGAGCTGACGTCTAACTTGCGTCTAAGAAGTTATCCATGTAACGAAATTTGTTATATTTTAACGCAAATCCGCTTGCCGAGCGGTTAGCTCCCATATGAAAAATTATTTTCATAAATTAGTATTTGCATTATAGTATTTGAAATTATACTAATTGGGTGAGTGTTAGCGATGTTCTTTGCGTAGACATGATTGTGTAAGATACTTTGCAAAGAGGCTCATCGTGACCTATTTGTTAACCGCGTTTTGTTCATAAGCGAATAAGTAGTGATGTCTCAACATTGTTGCTACCAGGGCGTTTGCACGGTTCATGTCGTATTTCTACTCGACTGTTGATCCGTCATTTGTTGCGTTCAAGAAGAAGATATTTGGTGACATCGTGAAGGAGAAGCCCCGGCGACCTGGCAGCTCAGAGCTCCGCATCCTCGAAGTCGGCGTTGGCACAGGTGAGGTGAACTAGCCGATTATTGTGTCAGCAATATAGTACAAAATTTACTGTTCAATTATATTTAACTGTTCTCAATTAGTGAGATAGCTTTTCGTAACTCCTAGGCTTCGAAATGTAAATTCAAACACAGTCTTATACTGAAGAAAATTTTTTTATAAAAATAAAGAAAACGCGGAAAACTTTCAATCCGCTCATTTGGATTACTTTATCTCAACATTTTTGCGGGGTGCGCAGCCGTAGACCAGCAAATTAACGCTCAAATCAGCCCTGGAGCGTGGAGCCAACATACCCAATCTAAATGCTATAGATATTGTCATCCTGGCACCTAAGCAGCTGTAGTCAATTGACCTATCTCACCACACGAACTTTAAACCAACACTGCTTCAGCACACAAGCTGCTACTCCACATAGTTAACGGTCAATACGTTGTTCTCCAATGCTTTATAACCCATACCATCACTTCTTACACATGCTGTTATCCTAAGTTTCCGCTGACCACACTGCATTGTCGCAAATGTGAACTGTACCAAACGGTAATGCGTCATCACCTTACTTAATCCGCAAGACGTTAACCCCGCGTCACTGTTTCGCTGCCTTACTATCCCCCAGCATCTTTTTCCCCCCACACTTACCCCGACTCTCCACCATTATCGCATGACTAACTGGAGGCTTTTCTCGCAGACCTTTGATGCTTATCCGAATTAGGTTAGGTCAAGTTAGGTTAGGTTAGTTTACAACTCCTATAGATCCTCTTTTCATAGCGTAATGCAGTCAAGTGAGCAGAAACTAAGAAAAGCCGTCCGGCAGTCAGTGAAAAAAGGCGGGGAGACGGGGTATGCGTGGAAGTAGAGTTATGCCGGGAGAAAGCAGCTGCAACGAACGGACGGGCTGGAGTGCTGGCTGTGTATCAACAGCGGTATGGCCGATGGCGTAGGGAGGGGACGACTGAAATAGCCCAGCATTGCCCAATACCAGCATAATTTTCATACTTCTCCCCGTGCGCAAGAATGCTGCAGAGCAAATTAGCCAACATGATTACTAGCTGAAAGCCACAGGGACCAAACCCCTTCATGGATGTAAACCAGCGAGCCAATGAGCTGCTAGCCGCC